CTAATCAAGATCCATCTTAACTTCATTTTACACTTTACACAAATAATCTGAACTCTCACGTCGCTCTAGTATTTTGCCAGAAACAGAAAAAAGGTTCGATTATTTTCGATTTCGAATAATCGAATTTTGATTAATCGAAATCGGTGCATGCCTAGACTGAAGTAACGCGAAAATAAATCATGCATATCAATATATGATTTGCCCTTACTCAAGTATGCAACGTAGAGCGTGTCCAGTGTACATGTACAACTCACATATTCACAATTGTCATTCGGTGTTGGAATAATCTGTCTGGTTAACAGACTTTTGATGTTTAATCGATATATGTGTGTCTTTGTCAGTAGGATCAACTGGTTCAGTGTAGTACACCAACAAATGTCGACGAGTGTTCCACGATCCCATTTCAGTTTTTCCAAATTCAGCCTGTGATCAAACACAAATAGAATGTGGTTCTCGTACACAGTTAAATGGTCAAGATTGCTTCCCATGGCTGTAGGCATTAGCGAGAGATTTGTTGTTCTATTTGCTCGATTTATGTCGTCTAAATTTACTGGTTTTATTGTTACAACTGACTCAAATTTGATATTGGCAGTCTGCTCTTGCAGATTTTTAATGAACTTATTCAAATTCTCAAGTGATTGTTGAAATTGTTCAATTCGTGTTTCCGTTGCATACTTGAGTAATCGCGTTCCGTACGCTACTAGTCATCTGTGTTACCTCTGCAATGCATTTATCATCGAGATCCAGTTTTTTAGTCAGCCGACGTACACCATGACGTCTCATAGCGTGCTGATCAGTTCTTGCTTTCCATAAGTCTAATTTAGACCTTAACTGTCCAGCAACTTCAGAATTCGTCAAAAGATTATGCGATTCACGTATTAATGCGTTTGTTTGTTCAGCGAGTTGATGAAGAGCGTTTGTGATAGTTTCTGCATGAGTAATTGTGTGATGTTCACAATAATGTTTTAAACAATGGAAGCACAACAGATCCGTGGGTGCGCGACACCAGAAACAGGGAGCCATTGATAGGTTCATCGGAACTGATGTATAATTTACAAACTCTCCAGACTGGTATTTGCTTCTCGTGCACTAAAGAATTGACTATCAGTGTATACTTGACAAAATATGCCGTGGTAAAACTGATGCTACGAATGTATGCAGTCGACCATGTGTTTATGTCACTTTTACCTTTAGTTATGTTGCAAATAACCAAGAAATCAAAAATGACTAATAGCTATATACTGGTACTTTTCGTTTCTGCATACCAGGAATATTAGAATATCGTCTGTCCTTATTAACCTTTTACCTGTCACCATTTACAAAAAATGTTTTTTTTTTCTAGATTATTATTTAGTGTGATAAGCTACAAAACAGTTATGCTATGCTTGAGTGCAAAAATGTAGTTCACATTCAGAACCATTGCGTTTTCAACTTGCATTTATCATATTTACACCGTAATCTTGATTGTACAAATTTTCATTACATATCGCCTCACATTGTGTGTATATTTAGTCACTGTCTTTTTCTCTCTCTCTCATTTTTAATATAACCATCACTGTCCTTTTGTCTTCTGCATTACATATATTCGTTGTACACACTTACATAAGAGTCTATTGTATAATAAACTCAGTAAATGATAGAATTCTTCTTCTTTGTTTTTAAGAGACTTTTATTTAGCGCTTTTAAATATATTACATTTTCATATCGTTCGCGATCAATACTTCTAGCGCTTTTCAGAAAATTCGTAGGCAGAATTATCATGCTCTCAAAAGCAATCCATTTTAATCACATGCTTCATTATCTTTTTATAATAATTCTACAATCAGTTTTGAATTCCACATCAGTTTCTAGAGGACACTTTGGAGTATATGTCTTAACAGAGCTTTCGGTTCACGGATTTGTGGTTTTTGATTAGAAATATTTTAAGTCTTTTTAGGTTTTCTGTCCTATTTTCAATAACAACTTCAGTTTTTGATATGAAGACTTGATTCTAGCGTAGTTCGATAGAGAACATTAACTTGTCTAAGGGGAAACACTTATCATCATTCTCGAATGAAGTTTGACGCCGGAATTTAACGTTCACCTTCACGAGGAAGTTTCAGAGCTGAAAGTATTTTTCACCTCACCTTACGGGGCTAGTTTCGTTAGAAGCTAGCAGTTTGAATCACAACTCTGGATACAAAAGTCGTTTAGAATCGAATTCTGCAGTCTCTAACAAGAGGTTTTTTAAAGTTGCCCTTTTTTAGTTTTTAAACAGAAAAATATGAAATTTAAAAACTTTAAAAACCGTAAAATTTAATTTAAAACTCAAAAAAGAACAACTTTAAAAAAGCCTCTCGTTAGCATTGCAGACTACGATTCTCAACAAGTTTTGTACCCAGAGTTCTGCTTCAAAATGCTTGCTTCGAACGAAACTACCCGTAAGGTGAGGTGAAAAAATCTTTGATGAGCCCAAAACCAGCAATATGTTTTGAATTTCTTCTTCAAGCCTTCCCTGTTTGTAGAGAATACTTCGAAGTATATGTCCTGAAGTTTTTTCGGCTTACTGGCATTATCTGGCTGAGAACAAAATTAATTGCTTAAAAAAGTTTTACTCGAGACGCCATAGAGGAGGAGAGGATTATATGTATTGGTTTTAGATATGAGGGTGTTCAATTTATAGGTACTTGCCGTACTTCTTTTACTGCTGCCGTATGTCGCTGTTGCATACCTGAGTTTTGGTTTTTTGATGATTGACGAGGACGATGATGTTGATAATTAGACGATCGTGCGTTCATTTGTTCATCTGCTGTTGATTGTGGCTCGGTATGTGGCACTACTGTATTCCAAGAATTTTCGTTCATATTAACGTTTTTTTTCTCTTTTCTCTTCTTCTAGAACAGGCTGTTCTAATGTATATATCAGCGACTTTTTTCAAACTAGAGATAGTCCTATATATACTCTTTCTTTTCCTCACTTCTCTCCACCATCATCTACTCTTCACATTAAGTATTGAAAAAGATTAAATTCGAAACCGGTCTACTTATACTCTCCTTCAATCTTTCACTAGTCTCTGACTAGTTAAAGACACTCACTCTGTGACTAATATTTCCTCTTCTCTTTTCATTTTTTTCTTTTTTCTTATTTCTTCTCTCACGTTTTCTTGGGGGCCATTCTGACTCACATACCTTTTTTTTTTTTTTTTACCTCTTATTATAAATAAAAACTTGCAAAAAACAAAAAATCGTTCAATCAAATATAAAACCCAAACTATCATATATTATCAAGGCTTACCATCATCATCTTCACCCTCACATATCAAGCAATAACCAAAAAAGCTTCGGTAAGTCTTACCTGTTTCTCTCTTTTTATACTCTTCTGCTATTTCAGACATAATGAACGAAGACGACTGCATTATCATTAATCAAGAAGAAGACTATACAACCTGCCCTGCACTACAACCTCTCAATCAACGTACACCAGTTCGTTCACGAGCATCAGCTCATCCTCGTACACCGCTAAGAAAAAGCACGACATCACTTCGCGACCATCGTATGCCCGAAATTCGTCGGAAAGTTCTACTTTTACCAGAAATACCACCGGGTACTTCCACGCAGGTTCTCCCAGATTTACATCGACATTCAGCCGGCAAATTTTCACTACGTTAGTTTTGTAGAGCTCGTCGAGTTATATAAGAATCCATATTTTGTTTTGGTCCGAAGCATGCG